GATCTAGCAATAAAAAACTTAATAAGTCTTAAAGAAAAAAAAATAAAATATTAATAGATGACAGATGACAGATAAAAATATGCAATAATATTGTCTGTGGAGGCGTGATGTACTAAAGGTTGAAACTGTTTTATTGCATGTAGGTTGAGGTTTTTAGATTTTTAGATTTTTCAAATAATGAAGATAGAATGACGACATGCAAACATATTGCAACGAGTAGTTAATTAGTGGAGGACCGTTTTAAGAAAGAATTGGTTTAGAAATAAATGAATTCATTTTGAATAGTATATTATGTAATTCTTATACATACTGTCTTGCCAGGTTTTAATAGTTAAATAATTTATTTAACAGACCTAAATGAAAATATATTCGGTGCAGTTTATTTCTATATTCTTTATATGTCTAGTTTATAAACAAAAATGTTATACTTCTTGTGTGTAACAGATTGCAAAATACATGGAAAATAAAAAAATACCATACTTTATAGAAACGAAATTTTCTCTAGTTTTCCTAGTTGTCAGCCCGTCGGTTAACCTCTAATAGATGAATGATCTGCACATTATATCGGATAACCATTGTTTCAACAAATTGCGATCCATTGTGTGAAATTAGTTTTTGAATTAGCAGCGTTCACCAGCAGCGGTTTTGCAAACTTCATTATAGTTCATTCGGGTGTAAAAGACAGCACGCTGTAATACCAAAAACCAATAATACACGAGTAGGTGTACAGGCTCATGTGCAAGTGACAGTTCGAAATTCCTGGTTTGACGATATGAAATATTCATATTTTTAATTTTCATTGTGGGTATATTTCACTTAGGAAATTTAAGTTGGGTGAGATGAAAATAAAAAATAGGTATTGAGCTATTACTTATTTCCAAAATAATAATAATAATAATAGTGGACCAAGTGTTTAAAGAAAACATTATCCTGAAAAAGTCCAATATGTCGGAAACTATTAGGGTTACAAAATAGACGGGACATTGTTGAAGTTTATTATTTTAGAGTATATGAGTACAACTTCATAAATAATTTCAGATTAGATCAAAGTTATATTTCGTTAAAATGTTTATTTTAATTAGTATGTACAGTAAATTTAACCACAGTTTTTTAGGTCGAAAATAAGTCGATTTAAGCTAACTGTAAAATTGTACATTTGTTGTCCATATATATTTTGAAACTACAAAATTTTAATAAATGGCCCAGTCTATTTTTTTTTTCTATTAAGGTGATTACAGCACCCCCTTATAATTTTGAGACAAGGATATCTCAAAAAGTAATTTTTTTTTAAAATTAAAATTTTGGAAAAATATATAAGGCAATAATATCTAAAATATGCATATATTTTAAAATTTTAATTTCTTCCAGTTTCCGAGAAAAAAAATCAAAGGACTTTAAATTTTTAAATATCATAATGAAAATAAATGCATTCCTCAACAGCACTATTCTTAATATAATCTCCAAATTTAAGCTCTTAATCTCTTGTTAATGATTTTTTAAAATTCGTCGAAATTAGTGGCTAAAACGCCTCGTTAAGTGCTTCTTTCTAGTGTAACGCGTCTGTAACTATTGTTTCGTACACTCTGAGTCATCATTCGTTTCTTGCAACGATTTACACCAGTTTACACCAGTTTAAACCAGAAAATAGCACTTAACGAGGCGTTTTAGCCACTAATTTCGGCGAATTTTAAAAAATCATTAACAAGAGATTAAGAGCTTAAATTTAGGGATTATATTAAGAATAGTGTTGTTGAAGAATGCATTTATTTTCATTATGATATTTCAAAATTTAAAGCCCTTTGATTTTTTTTCTCGGAAACTGGAAGGAATTAAAACTTTAAAAAATATGCATATTCTAGATATTATTGCCTTATTTATGTTGCCTAAATTTAAGTTTTCTAAAAACATTACTTTTTGAGATATCCTTGTCCAAAAATTATAAGGGGGTGCTGTAATCACCTTAAAACTATAATTAACCAATATTTTTGGCTTGTGCTACATAAACACCTACGCCATTAGCTACACGTCCTTTTGCAAGATGAGGCCATTCTAAATTGTGACTCCTCGTGTCACCGCACGTGATACCTACAAATCTAAAATTTATTAAATTGTGGAATTACTCATTTCAGCAATGTTAATGCTAAGATAATTTCTTTTAAGTCGTCCAAAGAACTAATGAGACTAAAGTTACAAAGTGTCTCGAAAAGAACTGTACTAAATGCACATTCGACGATTCTGAAGAGTTCTCTTACTGGGAACGGCGTACTAAAAAACAGTTTTAAACATTGAAGACAGGTAAAGATAAAATGATTACTGTAACGCTAAAGGCAAAAAGTTTTCTGACACGTAAACAATCTTGCAGTTTACTTGTAAAATAGTTCTCCCAATTTAGAAAACATGAAGCTAATATAATCTCTCAATATAATTCCATATCCGAATTGAAACAGAATTTGAAAAAGAATGAAGTTTTAATCCATGTAGATTTTAGTGAAAATTACTCTTTAAAATATGGCGAGGAAATTCAATGCTTTCATTTTGGAGGAAGTAGTCAATATATTAACACTTCATACAGCCGTAATCTATTTGATATCAGAAGAAACTTCTAAATTTAATACAAGGTGGCGCAAAATAAAGTCCCCTATTTGTTTTTTATATAAAAGTGAGATTAATTAAAAAACAGTCATATTATAAATGAAAAATATTTATTTAAACTCTAAAAATTTGTTTTGTTACATATTAAAAACAATATCGACCAAATGGCCACCCCCAGCATTATTGCAATAATGAGCTCTTTTTAAAGCATTTTTCATAACTTTCTCCAACATTTCAGGTGGTATTCTGTCAATTTCTTCCCGGATGTTGTCTTTTAATGCTTCTAGTGTTCGAGGATTATTCACAAATGCCCTATCTTTGAGATAACGTCATAACCAAAAGTCTGGAACAGTTAATTCGGGAGATCTTGGCGGATATGCAATATCGGCGTTTTTCGAGGTGTTCAGGAAAAATTCTGGTAATCGACGAATTATTTTGATAAAAATATTTTACGATTTCGGCACATTCTCGAGGAGTATATATATATATATATATATATATAAAATTCAAACTAATTTATTGGGGGCAGCAGCAATATATAATAAAGAAAACTCTTTAAAGATGATCCAAGCTTTCGGAAATTTTAATAACTTATTTCCATCTTCAGGGAATCTACAAAAGGTGTGGTGTGTCTTCATAGGAACATAATATTATTAAGAGAGTGAGTTACTTACATCTTTAGTTTGAATTTTACATTACTATTCAGCAAAGACTACCCTTCCACTATATATATATATATATATATATATATATATATATATATATATATATATATATATATATATATATCGATTCATAATGAATTTCCCAAGTATCTACTTTGCAACTGACAGAAAAACTCGAACAGATGTCAACTACAAACGAAACCATGACAACATTCCATAGGGTACTTGATTTTGCGCCACCTTGTACTTATACTTTTTGTACTCTTAGTGAAAGTTTACAGCACAATGCTACCTCAATATGAGCACACTCACAGCCATTGCTTCAGTTTGTGCAAAATACATCACCCAGTATTAATGATTTACATTTTTTGTCTGACTCTCCATCTACACAATATAGAAACAAACATATGTTTTATATTTTGTCCGACCACGTCCAAGACTTCTTTCTTGATATTGCGTAAGCTTCATGGAATTATCATGAAGCGGGACACGGTAAAGGTGTCCCTGATGCTATTGGAGGAGTACCAAAAAGAACTGAAGACCAAATAGTCGGATATGGTAAAGATATTCCTGATTTTAAGAATTTTGTAGAATTCTTGAAAGAACGAACAGAAATTACTTTATATATAATAACTCCAGAGGACATCAATGAAAAAGATCTATTATTGTCGCAAGCTGTCAAGACAAAAATACCTGTATTCAAAGGCACAATGCAAGTGCATCAAGTGGTATGGTCCAGATTTGTTACAAAAGTACTTGTTATGAGAAGACTAAGTTGCTTTAAATGCACTACAATATTACACTGTACACATGATAAACATATAGGACAAATGTCTTATGATCTGACACCTGTTTTTTATATGACTAGTGTAACATCCTTTACTGGCATGACAGTTGAAATATCTGATTTTGATATGACTGGTGCAACATCTTTTAATGGCATTACTATTGAAACACCTGATTCTGATGATATGATTGGTTCAACATCTTTTAATGGCATGACAATTATTGAAACTCCAAACTTAGAAATATCTTGGGCTAATCTCATTATTGGAGCTTCTATTTTAGTAAAAGTAAAGAGCCATTATAATAAACAAAACAAAATTTATAAATTTTGTTGCTGCTTTCGCTCGGTGAATGAAGACTAAAATGACATAACAATGACAGGTTTATAAGTGAACAATGATACAGCAACTGCATTTTCTATGGTTGATAATGATGTATTTTCCATTGCATAATACGCATTTTGCCTTCGCCGACAATACAAAGAAAATCTAGAAGAACTTTATTTGTCTTTGATGTTTTTGAACAATAATATGTTGTATCCATATAAATATGTTAAAAAATACGTCTTGTATGGGATATATAATATTAAAATATTTGAGTGGTTTAAGTATATTATTTCAGTTCACCCAAAAATTCACATTTACCGGTCATATGTAACATTACCCTGGAAAGGTTATTTTTGATTTTATCATATTATTCTTATTACTAAGGTAGATTTTAAGCTGCTACTAAAAGGAGGTGTATTTCTAAACTAGGTAATATGTTCAACAAGTTTAGTTTACATTTTTATGAAGGTTCAATTTTTTTTTTTCAAATCTAAAATTTGAATTTTTGAGATATTAACCCTTATATGAAAAATGGATAGTAAAATACTGACCTAGCCGCGCACATTGCTGTAAAATTACCATTAATTTCATTCTTAACTTTCTCTGACACGATTTGTATTCTTTATTTCAGGTACGACCAATCAATCAATGGACGAAGAAATTAAATTGTTTTTAAAAAAGATAACAAAGCTGGAAGATATTTTGAAACTGCTTGATAATCAGCATACTCAAGCAGTTGTACAAAAAGTGGAAAGAAGGCTACAAAATATTTATAAATGTATTAAAAACGATGCTTCACTTAACGCCGGTGGAAAATTTGAATGGGTTGATTCGGTTCTCATCAAGGTAAATAAAAGTAATTCATATTGTATATGTTCATTTTTAATAATTTATTGTAGTGTCTTCAAGATGGTTCCTGGTTACTCGTCGATAACGTCAACCTCTGTAGTTCAGCCGTTCTCGATCGTTTGAATGCCCTTTTAGAACCCAATGGGGTCCTCACAATTTCAGAAAGGGGAGTCGATTCGGTAGGAAATATGACTGAAATTAAACCACACAAAGATTTCAGATTATTTTTAACTATGGACCCTAAAAACGGTGAAATATCAAGGTAAATACGAACATATTACAATCTAATTAATTTATACTATTTCATGGAACTTTTTTGTAACCATAAATCGAAATGTTAGTATGTTACTTTTTGTATAGCCAAGCAGATCTAAATGCAATTCTCGCGCCAGAAATCAAATGTCGACTGCCTAGAAGACTTGACAAGGCTAAGTAGACAAAATAAAGTGACCTTAGCCTGATTATAATGGATATCGGGTCAATAAAAAGGCTGATGAACTAGTCCGAGAACTCTCAGATAAGGCCATAACAGACCCGAACCCATCTGTGGAGTTGCTAAGGCATTGTTCAAGACATCAATCAAACAATGGATACAGAAATAGTCTCATAAATGGTGAAACAAATATAAAAGATTTAGAAAGGCCAGTGTTAATTAAGGAACCGTTGGCCAAATTCACTAAAAACCTATTGAATCAAAAAACTACAAATCGTTAGACCCTGTCGCCTAATAAAGCACATTTGTCATAAATCCAGCAGAAGAAGCAGCATTGTTCAGGTCCTGTGAAGAAGAAGAGAAATCATCAATTCACGTCCTGCGTCAATGTGAAGACCTGGGGTTTCAAACACTAAATGAAAAGCCAGGCGCATGTACCCACATATCAAAGCTACTTAGTCTAAAAAGATTACGCTAGACGACATACTCTAAATCACTAACTCCCACAATAGATCTGAAAAGGTAACGGTGGACAAGGACAAACAATGTCCTTTCAAATCTAATTTAATCTAATTTACATCGATTGTTCTCGGAAATCTTACTTCCTATTGCTCACTTCTATATTTTCGATCATGTAGCACTCTTTTTATCTTTTTATTGATTTTCTTTTCGATTTTATTCCAATAATAATGTCATAGTACTATACCAGTTTCATAACTACCTCTATCCATGTCAAGAAAATGTGACTTACGGCACTTGGGAAAACAAGAAATACTTTTCTGACCTAGAACAAACAAGTAAAACAAATAAAAAACAAATATAGTCAGGCACGGTGGTGTAGCGGTCTATCGCGCTTATATTCATTTAAAGGTAAGTTTATGAGTCTGAGACCGCTGGGTTTCGAATCCCAGACCAGACCATGTGGATTTTTAATTAAATTGCATGGTTCGGTTTAGGATTTGATGTGTGGCGTATTAATAGAAATTCAATTTCTGTTGATATGACATGCAGATTAAAAAAATTCGCCATACATTACCGTCTCGATGATGGTGGGTGAGGTTTTCCGGGTTTTCCTCACCTGTAAGTCAAATGGCACCATCAATCATCTTTAAGTCGCCCCGGAGCGCCACGGCAAATAATAATAATAGCCGTTTCTTTCCCCGGACAAGCTCAGCTTTTGGGGTTAAAATTCACTCGTAAGGGGGTGAATTAGGGAGATTATTATTATTATTATTATTATTATTATTATTATTATTATTATGTTTATTTTTAAATATACATACACTCATATTATCGACAAATGAGGATGTATGTTTAGTAACATTATTATTTTTAAAAGCAAAAATGATTGCAAAACGTAATGTTTAAGAATAAAATAAAATGGGCAAATGAGAATAGTTTTACAATGTGTAGAAAAAAAAAACAAAATCGGCACCTGCTGAAGTGCTTTTAGAGCCAAAAAACCGGACTTGATTCAGAAAAATCAAACAAATAATATGGAATCAATGGAAGTATGAGAAAATCTCCTGGCCCAACATTATCAAATCTTATTTCAGGAAAAGCAAGTTAGAAGTCAGAATGAACAGGTGTTGTACAATGCTTGGATATATGAAAAAGCTGTGAAATAGCAACTACAAAGTGCATGTGCAAAACAATATGGAAAATATACAAAAACAAATTATTATCTTAAAGAAAGAAAAATCTCAATCTATTACGAATTATGAAGTAGAATGGATAACAGCGGAAAGCAGACACAATAGAAGAAAGAACGAAAAGCTAACTCCTCTTCAGAAACCTCTCCTGGTTAACCTGGAGATAGCAAAAATCTATATCAAGAGAAAGAAATAGTCAAAAAAATAGCGAACTTCCCCCGATAATAGCAAGCAACATCAATAAATATGAAGAATTGAGCCATACATTGGCATAAAATAATATTTCCTTTCAAGCCACAGCTCTAAGCAATATTCAATTTAAAATTAATACTAAACAAGAAGAAGACTTCAAAAATGCCATATCAACCTTGAATGACAGAGACATAAATTGGCATTCCTGAATTAAACAGACCAGAGACATTAAAATAATGGTTAGAGGTCTACCATCTACCATAAAACCCTAAAGATATTGTTCAAGACTTCCAAAGTCAAAGATTAACATCTAAAGTTGCTGTCAATATAATAATGAAGGAAATAGAATTAACCGAAGATAACACTCGTAAACTAAATGAAAAATCATTGCCGCTATTCATGCTGTCCTTGAAGATATCAAGAAAATCTACGAAATCAAATACTTAATCTAAGAGTTACAATCAAAACAAAGTCAAAACTAGTTCCGCAATGCAAAAACTGCCAGATATTTGGACACATACAACTTTTGCAACTATAGAAGATGTGAGGTAGCTAAAACCTTTCAGATAAGGAAGAATAACACCACTAAACCTAAAATAATGACGAGATAGGACCCATAAATGCTTTTCCCATTGACAGAAATTAAATAACATATTCTCAGGTAACAAACTCTCAGGAGCAACCAATTCAAAGGTCACAACCAGCTATGAATCGCACACCAAAAATTGCGCAGCATACTGCACAGTCAGCCGGTCTAGCAGAAAGTATTACTCATAACAAAATCACCAATGGACAAAAGAGATATTAGAATAGCCTCTTAGAATGCCAATGGTATTCTTCAAAAACAAACTGGTATCCGTTTTCTTGGACGTACAAAAAATAGATATGTCTGATTTCTGAGACCCACCTTATAACGGAGTCTTTTAAATTTAGAGGATACAACTTCTATCACATTATCCACCCATCAAATGTATCAAGAGAAGGAAGTGCGTTAATTTTTCAAAATAACATTTTCCACTATGTGTTCCAAGAACCAGAAATCAGGTAATCTTAAGCATCATTAACATTAAAAGGAGCAAAATTACAATAGCTGTAATCTATTGCCCACCAAGACACAACCAGAAAAAAGAAAATAATCTAATTGTACTCAAAAAACTAAGCAACGAATTTATAATCTGGAGTTTAAAATTAACCACAGTCAAAGGAAAATAATTGTACCGAGCTGCATCAGAATTTGGTTGTACATATCAATCATCTGAAAAACCCACCTATTGGCCCACCGATCCAAATAATTTTATAGTTCAATAATTTGTAAAGAACGCAGATGGAATAACATTTCCTGCGAGTACGTAACTCAAGGATATCATTTCTATTCAGCAAGATGGTTTGCGGAATTTTACGAGTAGGGTAGACGCCATCTAGCTTGCACCACAAATATTTGACAAATTTTCGCTGAATTTTTTCGTATGCCTAACTATGTACTTCATATCCAGGACTCCAAACAATGGATGCATATTCTAGCTTACTACGTACAAAAGCGTTAAAAATGGTTTAGTAAGTGTTAGGCTCAGAGAACTGGCGTCCATTTCGAATGACAAAACCCAAATTTCTGTATGATTCTGTCTGAATAGTATTGACATGCTCAACAAAGTTTAACTTAGCGTCGAAAAGAACACCAAGATCTCTAAAAGAAAGACATTGATTCATGTTAATATTGTTGACAGTGAAATTATACTCAATCGGATTTAGTTTACGAGTGAAGCTGATATAATTGCACTTAGATATGTTTAGTGGTAAGTTGTTAGAATTACACCAAAGGTTCAATTTATTTAAGTTCTCCCGCATAATCAAACAGTCAATACTGGAGATTAATTTAAACAATTTTAAATTATCGGCATAGGGTAGAGTCTTAGATACATTTTCAGTAATGTCATTTACAAAGATGGAAAATAAAAGTGGTCCTAGAACTGAACCTTGAGGGGCACCGGAAGAAGCTTTTATACAAATTGACTGAAAATTATGGTATTCAACTTTCAATTTACGATTACTTAAATATGATTCAAAGAAACGCAGAAAAGGCGTAGTGAGTCCAACAATGGAAAGGTTGTTTAAAAGTATACTATGATCGAGGCGATCAAAGGCTTTGGAAAAGTCAGTTATAAATATTTAGCTTCAACCTGACCACCCCTATCAAGGTATTCCGCAACATATTGTGTAAAGTATATCAGATTGGTCGCTGTGGATCTGCATGGAAAAAAGCCTTGCTTTGCCGTAGATATAATCGATTTTACATGAGCGAAAATTATTTCATAAATGACATTTTCGAAAACTTTTCCGAAATTGCAAAAGATGGATATAGGTATGTAGTTTTCTATGATAGATTTGGATCCTGTCTCAAAGATTGGACAGATTTTAGATATCTTCCAATAACTTGGAAAATTCCTTTCTCGTAAAGACATATTAAAGACCATGGTTAAAGGTTTGGCTAAAATATTTGCACAATCATATAATTGTTACCAGAAATATCTAAGTTATTTGAAAAGCTACAATTAAAATGACTAAAACCAATAATTGAAAATAAAAACCTGATCCCTTCGCACCAATTTGGTTTTAGACAATAGATCAAGTACACAGGATAGCCGATATTATCGAAAAAGCATACGAAGAAAAATGTACATGATCAGCTTTATTTCTTGACGTAACCCAAGCATTTGACAAGGTTTAGCACGGTGGCCTGATACAGAAACTTGAAAAACATGCTCCCTAGACAATATATCGATATTTTTCAATCATCTAGCGGAAAGAATGTTTAAAGTGAAGCAAGAGGAAGGATACTCCGAAATGAAAGAAATTAAAGCAGGTGTCCCACAATGCAGTGTGCTAGTACCAACTTATTATACACCAGCTATATCCCTCAACAACAATGTATTAAAATAGCAACATTTGCGGATGACACTGCAATATCGGCAGTTGGCGGAACTAATT